CCATTTTTTTATTTTCATTGGTTCCATGAAATAAATTTTATTAAATTGTAAAAGTTTTTCTGTTTTATTATTTAGACTAAGGTTAGGGTTTAACCACTGTGGGTTCTACCACGGTTGCACTGACCGGACAGATTAGTTAGATAAGCCTAGAAGGGTAGATATTAGGTATCCCCCCCTAGCAGGGCTTACAAATTGGTAGCACGAGTGGGGTCAGTGCTTTAGTCTAGTTAAATTTTTGTTTTTTTGCTAGGGCTAGGTGTAGCATGGTTAAATTTTTTTGTTTTGATAGGCCCTTGATGGAACCATATGTGTTTAGTTTTTGTTTAGTGTAGGAGTTGTTTGTTGTTTAAACACCCAGTCAGGTTGGCGGAGAGACGTGCCTCGACGAGCCTTCAGTGTGCGTGGCTGGACAAGGCACGGTGTGTGGCACTGGACCTGGCGTGTGATGAAGATGGCGGCCTCGTGTGGTCTAGACTGGACAACACACACGGGCGTGGCGCGGATCTGGTGTGTACGGCAGACCGGTGAACAACGAGAGGCCTATGACGTCAATTCCTTGACCCACAAAGAGGGCTACTGGACACCCGCCCCACAGGTGTGTCGAAGCGGAGGCACGATCATTGGGGGCGGGTAACAGTCGGAGAGCCAGTGGGGCAAGGCGGTTGCGTCACCACCTGGCCCAACCAAGCGGACGCTCCCCACCAACGAGAGGCCAGTGACGTCAATTCCTTGACCCACAAAGAGGGCTACTGGACACCCGCCCCACAGGTGTGTCGAAGCGGAGGCACGATCGTTGGGGGCGGGTAACAGTCGGAGAGCCAGTGGGTCAAGGCGGTTGCATCATCTCCGGACCAAACAAGCGGACGTTTTACCGGTGGTCTTACGCTGAGGCCAGAACCAGAACACGGTGTGTTGTGTAGTGGACCCAGGTGGACGGGATGGACAGGCAATGTGTGCCATTAGTAGCGGGCGGGTCTAGCCTGACCCTCCCCCCTTGCCCTTCCGGATGAATGACCGACAGGACTAGTAGCGCGAATCAGCCTCAGTGAAGAGAGCACTATCTTGGTGCCTTGAGTTTTTTTAGGGAACACAGAGACGCAAGATTAATGTTAATGGAAATTGTTTTTTTCTTGCATTGTAGGCTTGATGTAAGAGATGGGTGCATGTTTTATTTTAAGATTGTTATATGCATTTTTTTGTCTTACAGGGACTGTAAGATTTTTAAAAGGGGTGAATGTGAGCGGGTGAATGGATTTTTTTGTATTATTTTATTTGTTGCGAATCTGGGAGTGCATGGTGGTCCAATGGGGAACGGCACGGAGTCCCCTTCCGTCCGAAGCGGTCACTATAAATTGACCGCTCGGAGTGATTTTCTTCCTTTTTTTGACCCGCGGCGAGATGTAGGTCGGGTCAGGTTTCTGCGTGGCGCACCGCACGCGTGGAGGTATTTGTTTTTTTATACTTTATCTTTATGTGATTTGTATGAATGCGACTGTCGATGTTTCTCGTTTTCTTTCATTTTCGTCTAAAACGAGATAGTGAGCATCGGCATGTCTGGTATGCACGTGGTGTGTTATTCTGTTATTTTGAATTAAAATGTATTTTTGGTGTTTTCTAAACCCGTGGCGTGTGTTTCGGACCACGTGGTTTAGGCCAGTATGTTTCCTAAACTAGTGTGAATGCGTGTGTGCATTTACTTGATTGTTTTATGATGTGTTATTGACTAGGATTGGCTTAGTCAATAGTCAGCTGTTTTAGACAGTAATTAGATTGGTATATTTTAGTTGCCTCGAGTTTTAGGTTGTTTAAAATTAATGTGTGTGCTGTTTCGTGCAACGTCATGTTGAGTATCGCTTGCTTTGTGTCTGCCTTCATTGGGGCCTTAGCGGAGTGTGTTAACTTAATGTTATCAATATAGATGTTGTTTATGTAAACCAATGGCTTCGGGCTTCCTTGTGTAGGAAAGATTGGTTCTACGATGAATTTGTTTACACGTTATTTTTAAGTTGCTAGTTCTTCTTTAGACAGTGGTTAGTTGTTTTTGAGAATTGCTTTTAGAATTGTATAGTAAGGATTAGTTTTACTCGAGGCTTTAGCTAGATAGTATTAGTAGGTAGCATTTTGAACTTGTGTATATATTTATGTATATATCTGCCATTACCATGCATTTTTCTTATGTTTCCCTTTTCTTTTTCTCTTCCCCCCCCCCTCCTTCCAGTGAGGTTGCTTGGGCAACTTGGCTGGGTGTTTTGTTATATATGAATTGTTTTGTTTGTAAAAAGTTTGTTGTGTACGTATTGTGTTCTACGTAATGTATTGTACGTAACGTATTGTACGTAGTGGTTTTACGTAGTGTTTTGTTAGGTGTGGACTTTTGGATGTCGAGAATGGATGAAGGGAGGTTTCTGTGTGTCAGGGCCTGGACCATCCTAGACATCATAAGTCGGTGCAACACCAGCAAATGGTCGAACGTAATGTTTTGTTGTATATAAACTGTGTTGTTTGGTTTTGTTTTGTCTGTTTTGTGTATTCAGTAGTTTTTCCATTTTTTTATTTTCATTGGTTCCATGAAATAAATTTTATTAAATTGTAAAAGTTTTTCTGTTTTATTATTTAGACTAAGGTTAGGGTTTAACCACTGTGGGTTCTACCACGGTTGCACTGACCGGACAGATTAGTTAGATAAGCCTAGAAGGGTAGATATTAGGTATCCCCCCCTAGCAGGGCTTACAGATGTAAAGCTCACTTTTATAACTACTTTGTGTTGTAAATTCAAGTATTTCTGATTTACGGTCGCGAAGCCGTACCCTCAATAAGCATATAACCCTCGAGTCAACTTTCAGCCCCGAGTCAGTTGCTCGCCGTACGGTTTTAAAGGTTGACGACCGATGATGCTAAACGGATTTTACCCTTGCTAGAGCCTTCAAACAAGTTGTAAGTATCATTTTTAAAGTTTCATTTCCATTTTAATAAATGAATTTTAAGTTTGAATGTCAGTTTGGTTTAATTAGTACACGTTATTAATGTAAATTTGAACCCTACTAGTCCACGGTTTTAGCGTGTGATTTACGCTTGTACACATGGTGTGTTTAAACGTGAAGCTATTTAATTCAGGACATTCTAGGGACTTAAAATATGGATGCACTTAACTATTAGATGCTAGTGTTTACTAATTCTTTAAAATCTATCGAATGGGATTAATGATAGGGTCGTATTACTACAGTTTATCTGGACTATCGCGTCAAAATTATGAATCGACAAATTCAAAATGGCCACCAGACATTCTTGGTTACTATGTGGACGAACTCAATTATTTACAGGGAACGAAGGTTAAATACTTATAAAATATTATTGAAACACAAAAGAAACTTATAATTGTAATAACTATACATTTTTATCAATTTATTTAAAACAAAAGACACTAAATTTTAAGGACTAATGTGATTAATTTTTAATTTTCTGTTGTGCACTTTGATTTGATTCCCCTGCTGAATAATGTGAAATGGTCTGCGCCAGTCTCCTTAATAAAATGTACCAGATCAATTTTTAGATGGTGGTGCAATTTAATAAGATTGTACATGTTGTGACTTAGTTTTAAATGTTATATTAGTTGTAAGTGTAAGTAGTACTAGTAGTATTTCTCATTATTTATTTATTTTATATGCATATAGTAACACTGAAGGACAGTTAAGTTGTCCTATATGATGTTGAGAACCACAGTATGGCATCTTCATCATTGGATATCTCAACCATTGTGGCACAAACAACGAATATTTCATTCAATAGAATTAATGTTCAAAATATACTATCAAGTATAAATTTCTTTAAACAAAAAGGTGTTTTCAGGCTTTTTCATGTTTCCAGCTACAGTCACAGGATAAATAGTAGACCTACACAATAGGCTAGTAGTAAATCTAATTATATTTTATTAATCACTAAATCAATTATTTATTCCATATCTGGAGACATTTATCCAGAACTTTCCTTACAAGGGAAGGGAAGAAGACCAAGCCCCCCCCCCCCCAACTACAGTTCCCAAAACATATCACTTACTCTTGATGCTCCACAAGATCAAGGATGGGGGAAACAAGACATACAAAGATGTGGAGTTGTCGTTTTAAAAACTGTTCCCCTAAAGCAGTTATCAACCCAATAGGTTTGAATGTAGCAGCAACTGCTGCATTACTTGTAGTGTAGGCATCACGTCTTTATTAGATTACATTACATTACTCCACTAAATTTTGATTCTGTTTCTCCTGCTCTAGATAACTGTGGCATTTTTTAAAAATAATATTTTAACTCATGTGATTTTTGAAAATAATGAACACATTATTCCTGTTAATGTTACCAACAAAATAGTTTTAGAGTTATTCTATGTCCAAAGCAAAAAAAAAAAAAAAAAAAAATTATGAAAATAAAAGTGACCAAAACGCATTTTTGTCATTTTCAATTATTTTTTTTACCTTAGAAAGACTCATTTTAGATGACTGAAAAAAATTGGGCATATATATTACAAACTGTGCAGTAACTTTACCAATTTTTACACTTCTAAGTTATTTAGTTTAGAAAATATGGGTTCTCAAAAATGGCACTTTTTGAAAATCAGTTTTTACCAAATTTTGCTTTTTTAATAATCGCATAACTTTTTTATTTATTAAGATATTTTTATAAAATTTGTGGCATAGAGCTTACAATTAAAAGTTCTTTCATGACATACTTACTCCAGAAGTCTGCAATCAATAGTTAATTTCAGTTTGGACTACCTACTCCAAAGACGCAGCACACATCATGAAGTCGTCTAAATGTCGAGTGGCCCCTTCAGCTATGGTCTTGGATTACCGACCACAGCGTGTTTTTAATTAGAAGAGAAAAAGAATTCGGCCTTCACCATGGGTAAATAAAAAATATGTGCCGACAAGTTGCTGCAATCTTACAGACAGAACAAACTAAACCAGATTCTCTAGCCCAACTATGTGCTTGACATGCCACAAGAATAATGATTTAAATGATACACACAAGCTTTATTCAATTTTACATTACAATTTTATAAATAAACAGAGCTTCTCTACAAGACAAAGTTACACAAAGTTACACAAAGTTACACTGTCCAATGATACAACAAGACAAATGATAAAGTGCTCCTGTTTTAAGGAGGGAAAAAAAATGTATTTGTCTGATCACATAGTCTCCTCCCCCCCCCCCCCCACCCTCTTTACACACACACACAATCTGCCAGCCACTCAGAGAATTTAATGGCTAATACAAAAAATACTCCATCACAGACACGTATCCATCAAATGTACAATGTATTTATACAAATTCTTGATTACTTGGATCTCTTGGGAGTAAAATATTAGTACCCGAGTTACTGAAAACTGAACTTTCTTCAATGTCTGCTACATTAGGAGGTCTCATAACTCTGCCTGGCATTCAGCCTTTGTTGGATGAAAGCGAATATGAAGAGCAGGACATAAATGCCAGCAGCGATCCAACAATTGATGGCGTTGTCCTGGTAAACCACCTGGATGAACTCTCTAGAGTAGTTTTGGGCTGCCCACTCATGTTCATCCACCTTCAGATCTTCAAACAGGGCAACACTCCGGATCTGGAAGAAGATTCCCATCAGAGCCTGAAATAGATCAAATACTTGTCTTTAGCGCTATCATATTTGCCCATTACCCTTTGAACAAAATTACTCATATGGTAATAGCCCAAAGGTCTCAAGTTAGGATTTGTGACTTTAGGACATCCCTGAGTCCACCCAGCTCTGAAGGAAACCTAACTTACATAAGAGAAAGTATACACTGCTGGACACTGTGCTGACCGCATTATCCCTTCATATGCATATTCCTTTGTGGCCCCTGGGGAGCCACACCTCCAAGTTTGTAACTTACTTTTTCACATACCATTTATGCTTTCTAAATTAACTAATGGGCAGCAGTAGAACATTTCTTTATAATTGAATACATTATATGTATCACTGTAATCTAAGTAGGAAGAGTTTAATTGAATATGCATATATATATATATATATATATATATATATATATATATATATACACACACACACACATACAGAGAGATGTTTTTTTAGAAAATTTGAGAATCAAATCATTCGAAGAAGTATTAGTTTTTATGATTACAGTACAAACAATCATGAAACTAATATTAGCTGGTCTTTAAATGTTTAATTAATTACGTTTATCATGTTAACATATTACATTGCAAAGTATAACCATTACAAGCTAACAAATCACAAAATTTACAGACCAAAATAAATTTGCTTAAAAAAATATAACATCATTTAACCAAACATGTTTTTCCTATGGTTTCTGAAGGTTTTTTCATTTGTTTGATGTATTTATATTGAACTATCTTGCCTGTTGCTTCGTCTCAAATTGTTTTATAAATTATTTGTATTCTGAGCATTGCGGAAGCGTGACACCTATAAAAATATCAAGAACTAAAATAATTATTTTCACATGATTAAATTCACATATCTTTTGTGCCTTATGTATGTTGTTCTAGAGAGCATAAAAAAGGTTAGACATACAATTGACATTAGATAAGGAAAATTCCCCACAACTTTTTTTTTGCTAAAGGAGTTTATATAGTTTTTATAAGTGTTATAAAGGCCCTAATTTTTTTCTAACCAAAGAAAGATATTGGTCAAATATAGACCAATCTTTTAGCCTTGTGTAAAAAAGGTCAAGGCTATTCCCAGTCGGCAATCATTTCATGCCAAATATGACTGGGCAAATTATCCTACAATAAGATAAAAAAAAAATTCATAAAAAAAAACGTTTTAATAACAAGCTTTTATGTACTAATGCACTAAAAAGTAGAAAATAAATTATAGACTACTATTTAAATAACTATAAAGAAAAGCGTGGGCCACTTTAGTACCAATTGGATACCTTTACTAATATTTAGGAAGAGACCCACGCTTTTCTTTATAGTTATTTAAATAGTAGTGTATAATTTATTTTCTACTTTTTAGTGCATTAGTACATAAAAGCTTGTTATTAAAACATTTTTTTATGAATTTTTTTTTTTCAGTACTTTACATGTTTTATTTACAATAGTGTTACATGACTAAAAACCATTGCGCGTCTATTGAACGTGATGGCGCAGCTATTGAACGTGATGGCGCAGCTATTGAACGTGATGACGCGTGTGGTGTGGTTGGATAGACATGCCTACTAATTCGGTCTAAATTTTAATTAATTATTAAAAAATTAATTAGGCATCCAATTAAGTCAAATTTAGTTTCAGATTGCATTGTCTTCATGTCTTGACCCACGTGCCAACTGTGAATCGTATTGGTCAAGTAGAACTGTCAGAATTTTCACTCCGGTGTTGCGATCTAGACTGACGACAGACAAAGTAAGTGAGTTAAAAAAAAGCTTGTAAAAAGCATTTACCATGTCAGGGGAGTGAGGTATAGAGTAATAACAGAGCAGGGTTATTTTTGTTTTGTTTTCTTTGTACAAGAAAACTTTAGTTTTTAGGTTTAAGTTCAGGTTCATAGTTCCTGCTATGGTTTAAGTTCAGGTTCATATTTCCTGCTATGGTTTAAGTTCAGGTTCATATTTCCTGCTATGGTTTAAGTTCAGGTTCATATTTCCTGCTATGGTTTAAGTTCAGGTTCATATTTCCTGCTATGGTTTAAGTTCAGGTTCATATTTCCTGCTATGGTTTAAGTTCAGGTTCATATTTCCTGCTATGGTTTAAGTTCAGGTTCATATTTCCTGCTATGGTTTAAGTTCAGGTTCATATTTCCTGCTATGGTTTAAGTTCAGGTTCATATTTCCTGCTATGGTTTAAGTTCAGGTTCATATTTCCTGCTATGGTTTAAGTTCAGGTTCATATTTCCTGCTATGGTTTAAGTTCAGGTTCATATTTCCTGCTATGGTTTAAGTTCAGGTTCATATTTCCTGCTATGGTTTAAGTTCAGGTTCATATTTCCTGCTATGGTTTAAGTTCAGGTTCATATTTCCTGCTATGGTTTAAGTTCAGGTTCATATTTCCTGCTATGGTTTAAGTTCAGGTTCATATTTCCTGCTATGGTTTAAGTTCAGGTTCATATTTCCTGCTATGGTTTAAGTTCAGGTTCATATTTCCTGCTATGGTTTAAGTTCAGGTTCATATTTCCTGCTATGGTTTAAGTTCAGGTTCATATTTCCTGCTATGGTTTAAGTTCAGGTTCATATTTCCTGCTATGGTTTAAGTTCAGGTTCATATTTCCTGCTATGGTTTAAGTTCAGGTTCATATTTCCTGCTATGGTTTAAGTTCAGGTTCATATTTCCTGCTATGGTTTAAGTTCAGGTTCATATTTCCTGCTATGGTTTAAGTTCAGGTTCATATTTCCTGCTATGGTTTAAGTTCAGGTTCATATTTCCTGCTATGGTTTAAGTTCAGGTTCATATTTCCTGCTATGGTTTAAGTTCAGGTTCATATTTCCTGCTATGGTTTAAGTTCAGGTTCATATTTCCTGCTATGGTTTAAGTTCAGGTTCATATTTCCTGCTATGGTTTAAGTTCAGGTTCATATTTCCGGCTATGGTTTAAGTTCAGGTTCATATTTCCTGCTATGGTTTAAGTTCAGGTTCATATTTCCTGCTATGGTTTAAGTTCAGGTTCATATTTCCTGCTATGGTTTAAGTTCAGGTTCATATTTCCTGCTATGGTTTAAGTTCAGGTTCATATTTCCTGCTATGGTTTAAGTTCAGGTTCATATTTCCTGCTATGGTTTAAGTTCAGGTTCATATTTCCTGCTATGGTTTAAGTTCAGGTTCATATTTCCTGCTATGGTTTAAGTTCAGGTTCATATTTCCTGCTATGGTTTAAGTTCAGGTTCATATTTCCTGCTATGGTTTAAGTTCAGGTTCATATTTCCTGCTATGGTTTAAGTTCAGGTTCATATTTCCTGCTATGGTTTAAGTTCAGGTTCATATTTCCTGCTATGGTTTAAGTTCAGGTTCATATTTCCTGCTATGGTTTAAGTTCAGGTTCATATTTCCTGCTATGGTTTAAGTTCAGGTTCATATTTCCTGCTATGGTTTAAGTTCAGGTTCATATTTCCTGCTATGGTTTAAGTTCAGGTTCATATTTCCTGCTATGGTTTAAGTTCAGGTTCATATTTCCTGCTATGGTTTAAGTTCAGGTTCATATTTCCTGCTATGGTTTAAGTTCAGGTTCATATTTCCTGCTATGGTTTAAGTTCAGGTTCATATTTCCTGCTATGGTTTATGTTCAGGTTCATATTTCCTGCTATGGTTTAAGTTCAGGTTCATATTTCCTGCTATGGTTTAAGTTCAGGTTCATATTTCCTGCTATGGTTTAAGTTCAGGTTCATATTTCCTGCTATGGTTTAAGTTCAGGTTCATATTTCCTGCTATGGTTTAAGTTCAGGTTCATATTTCCTGCTATGGTTTAAGTTCAGGTTCATATTTCCTGCTATGGTTTAAGTTCAGGTTCATATTTCCTGCTATGGTTTAAGTTCAGGTTCATATTTCCTGCTATGGTTTAAGTTCAGGTTCATATTTCCTGCTATGGTTTAAGTTCAGGTTCATATTTCCTGCTATGGTTTAAGTTCAGGTTCATATTTCCTGCTATGGTTTAAGTTCAGGTTCATATTTCCTGCTATGGTTTAAGTTCAGGTTCATATTTCCTGCTATGGTTTAAGTTCAGGTTCATATTTCCTGCTATGGTTTAAGTTCAGGTTCATATTTCCTGCTATGGTTTAAGTTCAGGTTCATATTTCCTGCTATGGTTTAAGTTCAGGTTCATATTTCCTGCTATGGTTTAAGTTCAGGTTCATATTTCCTGCTATGGTTTATGTTCAGGTTCATATTTCCTGCTATGGTTTAAGTTCAGGTTCATATTTCCTGCTATGGTTTAAGTTCAGGTTCATATTTCCTGCTATGGTTTAAGTTCAGGTTCATATTTCCTGCTATGGTTTAAGTTCAGGTTCATATTTCCTGCTATGGTTTAAGTTCAGGTTCATATTTCCTGCTATGGTTTAAGTTCAGGTTCATATTTCCTGCTATGGTTTAAGTTCAGGTTCATATTTCCTGCTATGGTTTATGTTCAGGTTCATATTTCCTGCTATGGTTTAAGTTCAGGTTCATATTTCCTGCTATGGTTTAAGTTCAGGTTCATATTTCCTGCTATGGTTTAAGTTCAGGTTCATATTTCCTGCTATGGTTTAAGTTCAGGTTCATATTTCCTGCTATGGTTTAAGTTCAGGTTCATATTTCCTGCTATGGTTTAAGTTCAGGTTCATATTTCCTGCTATGGTTTAAGTTCAGGTTCATATTTCCTGCTATGGTTTAATTTCAGGTTCATATTTCCTGCTATGGTTTAAGTTCAGGTTCATATTTCCTGCTTTTGTTTAAGTTCAGGGTCATTTCTCCTGCTAAGTAGATTTTTATAATGCCAGCCAAGCATTGTTCAGACGATTTTACTGTTGTCAGACAATGGATTCATCCAGCAAATGGTTTGTCAGACAATGGATTCATCCAGCAAATGGTTTGTCAGACAATGGATTCATCCAGCAAATGTTATACACTCAAGGCTGGTGGCGATTAACATTAAAACATAAACTTACTTTATTATGATTAGTACTACTTAATCAATTAGCTTAATTAAAATGTTAATTATGCTAATTACTTTATTTATTCCCTTTTGGCTTGACTTTGTTTTCTGTTTGGTTTATTTTTAGGGAGTATTTTTTAAACAATTCTTTCTTGTAAAGTTTTCTTGAAATATTCCTCAGAGCAAATTAATAATATTACTAAATTGGCATAATTAATTTGACCTCCTTGAATGCTTTTTTAAAAAGATGACACCATGTCTAGTAAGTAAATGCTTCATGTTCACATGTAGATCCTTTTACTCAGAACAATAACATAGCCAAATCGCCAATAGGCCTATGAGAGATATCTGAACTGACTTTTGAGACCTTATATTCCCACTTTGTCCGCTTTCCATTGGTGGTCTGTTACACCACTAAAAAAAGTAGATTACTTTCTCCAATTTAATGTCAGTCCTAGGCTAACTTAAAAATCTTATGTCTTAAGTTTAATAAATAATCACACTTTATCTCTTTAACTTTAACTCCTTTATTTATTTGGGAGGCGCTTGTATCTCTCAAAACTTGTTATAAGAGCGCCCATCAGGGTTCTAGTCCGCCATGATGGAGACTAACAGGTTTGAAGAGTACCTAGTGAGGACGGTTATGTAGCGAACAGCCCCATTGTGTCTGACGTACAGCTCCTGGAGAGTTCGGTCAGCCGCTAACATCAGAACAGGAGCAGAATAGTGAACGATGGAGCGAATCATCATGAGGTTAAAGGTAGTTTAAATCTATTACGACACAACACTATGCGTGTGTGGTATCTGGCCAGACCTATTAAATATAGGCCTAAATCATTGCTTTGAGTTCATATTTAACTCAACGCAACAAACCCGCCTATTGGTTGAGACTACACCGGGGTTCGATTGTTTGCAACAATAAAAAAATATGTTTGTGGCGGCAGACAGCCACGGTGTACCACACAAAAGACATAAGTTGATCTATCGTCTGCGGTATTTCGGGCGGTTTTGAACAAGGTGGTATTTTAAGTCGACACAAAAGATGGTGAAGTGTTGACAAATCATCAGAATGTCTAGCGACAGAAAAATCTGAAGTTTTAACAATGTAAACAAAAAGTCTTTGAAGTCTGCATCTGCATCAAACATTGTTGTAAATCGGTCGCGGTAAAATTTCCCAGACAGCTTTGCATCCTACCACCACCCTGCATAAGTAACAGGTGGTGGTAAAATGCGAGGCAAAAATATCACGTGAGCAACAGTTTTCGCGCTCTTGTCGCAGTTTACCGCCTTGCCATTTCGCTTTTCACATTCACAATTTCCGACACCTGTATTGATTAGGCGCCTAAAGTGCAGCTATATCTATGTGGAGTATGTATAAACTACTAACTTTAGTTTTTTAAAGCACTAGCCATAAGCCAAATACTTTTAACTTTAATAAAAAATTACTAGATCTAGGCCTAATTACTGTAAACTATATGCCTAAACTATAGGGCCCTAGGCCTTAAATTAAATACTAACTATAGAGCAGTATAGTAGCGAGGCTCACTAACTTTAAAGCGTCCTTGGTTGCTAACCAGAACATGGCTACCTCACCTGGGCATACGATTGGGCAATTTTTTCTGCTTTGTTCGAGAGACCACCTTAACATTAAGTTTAAAAATAATTATCACGCGAAAAATGGCGTTTTTTTCGCGTATTTTAAGCTATCTGAAGATGACAAAGCTATTTTTGGCAGATTTTTTTTTTTTAAATTTGCTTCCGACCATGGAGGTCAAGCGGAAACATGGGTATAGTTTGAGTTGTTTAAAAACTTTAAATAAAGGACTGTTACGTGTCTAAATGGCACTGTAAGGTAGAGTATTATTAGATTGATCGTTTAGTGAAAAAATATTGTAATTATTTTGAATCCATTTTAAGAAATCGGCAGCCAAAAAAGGTCACTGAAAGCACGTAATTTTTTATTGTGACGTCATCGCTATTGTTACGGAAGCTGTACAGTAGTATCCTCTCGCTGCTTATATATTATATAATTGTATTCTTTTCACTTGACACTCTTTTTCAGCTTATTTTGCTAGCGTAATTAGACTAATTAAGCCTAATTATGGATATTTCACCTGGCTTTTGGATTTTACTAAGACTCTAAAAGCCCTTAGCCTTAAACCACAACGATCTGTTGTTTTTTTTTAAATTTTGTGTTGATCCCTGGAATTTGTAGTGAGCGTTGGTCTTTGTGTGCTTATTTAGGCCTAATTATTTGTTTTCAAATTTGTTATAGCTTAATTAATTTGTCTTAATTCTTATTGATTTCATAAATTTTAATTAGGTTAATTATAATATTATTTTCACTGGTCTTCGTTGATACATTTATTAGGCTTAGTAATGTTTATATTATATAAATATATTTATCAGGGGCGTAGCGAGGGGGCGGGGGTGCGGACCGCACCGGGTGACACCATTTAGGGGGGGGGGGTGACACCAAGGCAAAAAATAGCAAAATATATAGGGAAAAACTTGAGGGGGGATGCAAATCGAAAGTTTGAGGGGGGGGGGTGCTAATCGAAAATTTGTCCCCGGGAAGGGTCGCTACGCCTCTGGGGGGGTGACACCATTAAGTGCCGCACCGGGTAACACCCGACCTCGCTACGCCACTGATATTTATATATTTTATTATATATTATTAAGATTTTAGAGGCCTGATAAATTAAATGATTTTAGCGTTGAGTCTAGGTTTACATTACTAATTAGTACTTAGTAAACCAAGTACGCATGGACTAGGACATGTGTGTGCTGTGCCGGCGGCGTTGTGGCGGGCGATGCCTCTCGCGCTGACAAACCAGCGCGAGCGAGCGAGTCGTGTGTCACACTTGGCCTGTGTCGATGTTTGGAATGCATAGGCATAGGCCTAATTCTCGCTCTCGGGTGATTAATTTTTATGCGCTGACATTTGAAAAATCAAATAGACACACATCTTAATTAAATACATTTAATTTGAACTTTATATTAATCTAGACCTATAATACTAATTAGGGCCTATAACTTGGGATAACAAAGTACTTGGAATAGATTTAGCGCATGCGCACACTGTGCTGTGAGTTTTCTCTCGCTGGTTGACAAAAGAACGCAGGCGGGCTAGCGATGTTTGTAATTTGCATATATCTTCGCTCACAGGCGATCATTTTAATGCGATTGGCCTATTTTTATTTTATAGGCCTAATTAATTGTATTTGATAGGCTAACTTTTCTGGTTGACAAAACTAAGCGAGCGAGATGTCTGTCACGCGCACTGCCCGTGACGCTGTTTAGAATGTATTTCTCGCTAACTTGATGAATTTGAATGCTATGCTATTGCAGTGTTTTTTAAAATAAATCAAATACTTACAAATCTTTACATTTTAAACTGAGCATAGACAAAACTTTGTAAATAACACACCTGTCCCAAGTGAAGTGAGAGAAGAGGGTTAGATTAATTTTACAATGACATCGCTATATTTTATGAATTGCCCTAATTAAGCATTGCTAAAACACTTACACTAGTTAATAAAACATGCATGGGATTGAATATCTTTAAAAAGATTAGATCTATACTATATATTCTTGAACATGTTGTTCATTAATTTGAATTTAGTTTTCCTTTTTAAACACCCTTCCATTTAAAAAAAATTAAATAAAAATATTTAAAAATTCTAGATCTAGATCTAATTCCATTATGTGATTTTTTATTCTGACGAAGACAGTGTCCATACGAATAGAAATGTGGTAATAAAATCAAATGTACTGTGCATATTCTGCTAAAATCAAATCAGCTGCAAGGTCAACCCTGCAGAGTTCGTCTCTTCAGAAAAGTAATGGCGATCTGGTTGTCACGGATTATTTGGCTTGCAATGCTTGGAGTGGCCAATTAATAAAAATCAGTAATTAAGCTCCAAATGAGTTTATTTTCAACAAATTAAGTATTTGATTGATTAGAGATTGATCTCTAGTTTCCATTGGTAATGTTTAAATCGAAAAATAACGAAATTTAAAATTAGTGAGTATCTCTACAGTATAGGCCATAGGTAGGGGCCTATAGTAAATAATTATAATAACTAGGAGAATACTAGCCTTTACTAGGGCCTAGCTAGCTAGTACTAGATCTAGTAGCTAGGCCTAATAAAGTGTAATAATTAATATTTAATTGTTCAATTTAAATTACTTACAAGCATTATTATTCCCCATATACTTATAATCATATAGTAGATAGAACATTTAGGTCCTAGGCATGCCATTTTTAATTTTCAGTAAGTTTTTAAAATAAATGATCTATTTTCTCTGAAGGATTTAGATTAGTGCCTATTGAAATCACAAAAACTTATCATATGACATAAACAGAAGACTTCCGGACAAAGGGGAGGTGACTCTAAAAATAAAGATTAATTTTAAAAACAGAGTGATTATCCCTAGATTGTCGAATAAAGATCTAGAATCTAGATCTAGATCTAGATCTAGTAGACAAAACCGATTTCAAATCACCTCATCATAAAATTCGTCCAAAAAAAAAAATATTTTTACAAATCTCGACGTTTTACAGCTCCTTGAGTCGGAAAAACATACTTTTTTTTTTAGCTTTGTCCGTTTCTGTGAACACGATATATATTATAACATAAGTACTAGATCTAATCTAGATCTAAGTACCGTTACAACTAGGTTGATGAAATTTCATACAAACTTGTAGTTATGTAATAATGTATCAACTATCAACTATTCAGCTCTTTCCGGTGACTGGAAATGAAACTTCTTCTACTTTCTATTTTTCAAAAGCCGATAATTTGAGTACTGTTTCAGATAGATAAATGCAATTTCACATGTAAAAGATCTAATTCTCTGCCTTCTGTCAATTTTTGAGTAATTTTCAGTAATTTCCGTTGACCGGAAGTAGGGTTTATGCCATTTCCTATAGCTCAAAAAAAAAAAAACTCATGTGAATTTATAAAGTACTAATAATATTGCGCACCATTATACACATATTGTTTGGCGTTCACTTGGTGCGCAATTCTGTATTTTTCTACGAGATTCTATTTTTAAAAAGTTTAAAGTAATTAAAAATTGATTAAAAATCATGTCTGTATCCTGAGTTGCCATCCCCAGAGGCGTAGCGAGGGCGGGGGGGGGGGGGTGACTCCAAGGCAAAAAAAATTCAAAATGTACAAAAGTTTCATTAATGATTAATTAAAGTTAAATATTCTTTTAAGTAGAAATCGACAATTATATATATATATATATATATATATATATATATATATATATATATATATATATATATATATATATATATATATATATAAACTCACGAAGTGCCGCACCGGGTGACACCCGACCAAGCGACGCCACTGGCCATCCCCCGTTGTTATATATATGTTACGGTCAAAGCCCGAAGTCGGCAAATGCGCGCATTGGCCAATATCGCCTCCCATCGACCGGCAAAAGTCCGAAACTTTACTTCATTTCGGCCTTTGGCCCTTGATTTCGGCCTTTGGCCGGCCAGTCCGCGGACTGGCCATGGTGGACTGACCATTCCCAACTAGAAGATTATCTGGCTAGGGACGACCGGCCAAAGTCCGAATTAGAAGATTATGAGCAATTTTTTTTTTACCGTAAGGATCATAAAAATTAAGTCTTTGTTGATTGTTATTTAGATTTACATTGTTATTTTTAAACTTGCAGCGATTGGTGGTGCACTAGGTTGTGCAGTTGCAGCAAATGTTGCCTTGACCGCCGGTCAGTGAATGTGAAGATGCGATGGTTCGTAGGGATTTTCCTCAGTGCCAACGAGCGACAATGAGAGCAGTTTTTCGTGGAGAATTGAAAACTCACTTCTAGTATGCCGTTGTTTTGGAATACCATGTTCCGTTCCTAGCTTGTTCTTAGCGCTCTCGACGCTCATGACAACTGCAATGACGCTCCGAGGATCACTGCGACCTCTGTCAACATCTGGTATACGGATGCGACCAGTATCTCCCACTTCAGCTTGTTTAAATTTTGTTAGCATCTTGGCACCTTGAGATTGCAAGGTAGTATGAGCTGCTGACCTGTTGTCCATGGTTTCTTGTTTATTGTGTCATATTCTGCGAGTATTGTTCCCTACATAACCTTCGTCTGCTTCATTGGCTATTCCACATATTGCATGGACATCGTTGCCACAGGATCCACAAGAATGGACTGCAAATACAATATTTTTCACAAACTACACAGAATCTGTTGGCCTTATTATTGTCACGCAGCTGGTCTGGACGTTGCGCCACGGCAGGAGATATGTTAGCTGAGGATGTCGTTGCATTTATGGCAACCTCCATTTCTTCAATGTTCTCAAGATCTTCCTCAGTAGCTAAATTATCGAGAGCCTCTTTCGGTAGATTTGAAGTGCTAAGTCCCACTTTTGCTTTGCATCCAAATATGGTTTCGTATGGCGATTGTTGGATTCCTTGATGAAAATTACGGTTTTTCATAAATTGAATGAAGACTCTCAGCCCAATATTCCTTTGTCTGCATCCTTGTCATCATCATGTTTTGAACATCTTAGTTGGCACGTTCTATTGAACATTCGCCTTGACTCTGCCTTGATTTTCTGTGAACTAGTTTAAGTTCATGCCACATGTTCTTTAGTTCAGAAATAACTTGATTCAAAAATTCTTTTCCATTAGGATTTGGATTATTTTTATTTTGGCAGCCATCTGGTATGTCTGTCTCTTGATCTGACCGCCCTTTTGGTCCATGTCGCATTGCATATAGAATGCTATACAAACAAGAGCCAAACAGTACGTTAATCACTATGAAACCGCACCCATATTAATGAAAACACTATCACTACTTAGCCACACTTCGCCATATATATATATATATATATATATATATATATATATATATATATATATATATATATATATATATATATATATATATATTTGAGAAAGGTTATGGGAGATCACTCCCGGTTTATTTGTACTAATGTTAATTTGAACATAACTACGCAGTATGAGTTTTTTCTTATTGTTTGAAAGTTTGCTATTTTCATTTCAGGTTGTTAAGGGTTTCTTTCTTTAATTAGTGATTCGATCGTAAATTATGTCAGATTTTTTTTTACTTCTCCTTACCCTAATTGAACCCAACCTCCATCATGTCACAAAAAGTCATAATGTAAACAAATACCATTTTCGCTCTGCCTTAACTAAGATCTCTAGCCAAAATTTTGACAAAAAAAGGTTTTTCATCATTTTTATATACATGGAGAGACAAAATGCAATATCTACCAGCTTTTCTCGTAAAACATCATCTAAAAAATCAGCACATTTTGGTTATACTTTTTGTCAAAATGTAAATATCAAATACTCAGCGATTCTTACAGGCATATCTTCGGGGGAGTCCCCCCCCACCCCCCCCCCTCCCCCCAGCCCCCTCGGTAACTTTATCACTTGTAGGTATAATGAAAGGAGGTGAACGGGGAAATATCCTAGGTCATTGATGGAGACCCTATATATGATGGAGACCCTATATAATGCTATGTTCAATCAAAATAACGATAAATAAGCATTTGTATACGTATACCATTGCTCATAACGAATGCTTATAAATGTTTGGCAAAACGGCCTCAACTCATTACCCCCGTCAAAAAGGCTTGCCACCAAATGCCTGCCGACGAATATGCCACGTCTAATTGTGCTTTTTATAAAGCGCGGAGCAGCTTCAAAATCGGACGGCTTCTCCTTTGTCACCAAGAGCATCTTAATAACAAGTTGGAGCTTAATGGGTAGCAACCTTCCGGAGTTTAATATGGGTAGTCTAGTTCTATACGGTGGGAGTTTAATACATTTTTAAAGGGCCGAAAGTCTCAAGACAGCAAGCTTGCAGAAATAACCACGTACGTTTAAATGGACGAGTGAATGGTGGGACGGGGGTAGGAGGAGGAGGGGGGGGGGGGGGACTGTTTAATTGAACACCAACAAAAGTAATCAAATTAAACATAACTGTCGAAACAGCAGTGCTTGTTTTTTTTTTTTTTATATATAAAGTTAACCTAACGGTCGGTAGTATCGGTACATGACGTCACGCGTGAGAGTTAAGTTGGTGACGATGTGCTAAGTGGGGTAAGACTAAGGTTTTACCCTAGACTCTATTTCTAGAAATCTAGATCTAATAATTATTAATTTGTGTTGGGCCCATTATGTGAAAAATTTAATAAAAAACGTTTTAATAACAAGCTTTTATGTAATAATGCACTAAAAAAGAGAAAATAAATTATAGACTACTATTTATGAAAATAACTATAAAGTCACTTTAGTATCTATTGGATACCTTTACTAATATTTAGGAAGAGACCCACGCTTACCTACTACACTACTAAGAAAGGTATGAAAGATGCTTTACATTTTTGTTATTAGAAGTGAGGTTTCGGATATTCATTTTTTTTAGTTAGGTACAGTTTTATGAAGTCATCAGTATGGTTGGTATAATTTGATGTCGTTGATGACTGCAGTGAGGGTTGAGGTGTAAAGTCAACAGTTTAAGCCCTGATTGAGTAACACTAACACACGTACAATTTTAAGAGTTTTAATACACTTGGGAGATGGAAATAAACTAACACTGAGTTCTGCCACGGAGCACAAGACACACACTTACACACGATAAAAAGTCTAGCATTCAACTAACTTAATTAATTCACGCGGCCTCAACTTCACCCTTAGTAACCCAACCCCTGCCTAACCCCAGCAGTCCCGCGAGGGGCGGGGCGCTTGACCTGTGCATGCATTAACTCGAACTTTTTACGACTGGGACAACTACAGGCTATTCAGACTTGTATCTAGTGGGGGACGTTTAATCAAATACACTAAGGACTATTCCTATTACAGCTATTATGATCTATCTAATCTACAATTAAACAATATAATAGTGTGGACATAAATACTATTAAGGTTTAAATGATATTCTATCCCAGTTTTCTATCCTATGCTAATCCCAGTTATAACATACAGGATATCTAGATCTAGTTATCTTTAATTTTAGGTACAGTTTAACCTCTGTATGTTATTAATAATTTCCTACATAGAGTGGTTTCAAAAATTATTAGTTTTCTTTTGCCGTCTGTAATTAACAACCAGAGCCGTAGCTAAGGGGGGGGGGGGGGCAGACCAGTGCGCCGACCCTAGGGGGCGCCAAAAGGGGTGGAATTTTTTTTTAAATCTGATTTTATTCTGCCGTTTTTAATTATAAACAGTCTAAATTAAGAAATGTAAAGGCTACACGACTTTACATACTGATTAAACTGTTTTCTACCTTGATTATTAACTGTAAAACAAGAAACAGTGACCGGCAAAACTGCTTTCCAGCTTTTTATAGATGGACTAGGC